AGACTTACTGGATCATCCAACGACATGGCTCTGTGCATGGCTTCCAAAAGGAAGTGGATGGAGGCTAGGAAGTGGGGAGGCATGAGGGCACTTCAAGCCAGACAAGTGATGTCTGCAAGCCATTGAAGAATGGAGAAGGTGAGCAGGGCTGGAAGGGCAGAGGCAAATGGATATGGGCTCTCAAAGAAGGTCTAATGCCTCTGCCTGTGGCACTTAGGTGACAGTATCCTGGCTCTGCTGTAGCCAGACCCTTATTAGACTTTCTGCAGTATAGGCACAGGTGAGAAGATTGTGCATATGTGGGTTCGTCCTGCAGGAGAAGGCTTCCACTTGCCATAGGTGATCTCAAGGACAAGACCAAGCAGCAGAGAGACCCTTGGAGAAACAGACACCCTCCTTCCCTCACTGATCCCCTCTTTTCTTCTCTCCCTTGCTCCCATTAAGACTTCTTGAGGCTGATTTTCACCAGGCAGATGTCAGAATGGGCCAGGAGTCAATGTATACTGCATCATGGAGATAACCAAGAGATGGCCGAAGGCATCTGGCCAGAAAGAGAGCACACACGGGATGTGGTGGCCCTTTTTGTCCCTTCCCAACTGTAGAGTTGCTTTTTGTTGTTGTTGTTTTTCAATCATCTGTGTAGTGTCCTGATGAACAGTTAAATGGGAAGCTGAGCCCTGTTGGGTCTGCAAGGCCTCTGTGAACAGGTGTTTCTGCACATGTTGGGCACTTCAGAGATGTAGCCACCACCATAGGTTGCATTTAGGTTGCCACAACTAAGTGTTGCCTATGTGTGAGGCTCGCACTGGAGCTCTTAGTGCATCCTATCCCCTGCAAGTACAGAGGGCAAACACCCCAAGTCCTTGATGAGCCTGCCCCATGCCTCCTTGGTGAGGTAGACAGGGAAATGGTAGGCTTGGATAGCTTGGCACTATAAAATAACATCAGGATTTTGTTCTTAGGTTGCACTGACCTTGAAACTTTTCTGTGGGCCTTGAGGATGAGGTTGAAGGTTGAGGTTTTCTCCTGGGCCAAATGGCTACCTTGTGGATTAGCTCTGTGCAGTATCTTTTCCAGGCCTCCTTGAATTCCTATGAATGCCACCATTTTTTCAAGGCCTGATCACATGGTTTGCTGTTATTGCAAGTGAGAGACAGAAGGAATAAAAGTCCTAAATGTGAGTGTGCACAGGCAGAATGGGGTTCATGAGATCTCATCTGCTTTGAAAAGGGTCTTGGGACTCTGCACAGACCTTGACCTTGGCTTCCAGTTGTTATGGGATGAGTTCATTACCAATGCTGTCACCTGAAGTCTGAGGCCCCAAGTGTTTGTATGCACTGGCCAGAGGCAGGGGAAGGGAACTGCTTTGTGACTCATGAAGTCACATCGGCAAGGGAGCAGAAGAACCACAAATAAGGGACTCTGGTTGGGCAAAACCCAAGCTGCTTCAAGGCTATTCTTGGAAACAGGAGCATCACATCTTGTCTCTTCCCAGAAAACACAGAACCTTTCATATTTCCAGCTAGTTACTTCTATTTCTATCACATGTCAAACCAAAAAGGCAGCTGGGTGGTAGTTAAAGAGGCAGGCTTTAACAAGAGCTAGCCACCCAGCATCCTTAGATTTAACACATTTGAACCTCTTGTACCTCTTGAAGCCTGCTCACAAAAGGTAATGCACCCTAAGTTCTGGGGAAGTAGAGACCTGAAATTTGGACTCACTGTACCCTTGTGAGTGCTAGACTGGCCCTTCCCAGTTCATTACCAACATTACTCTCTACCTGTGTATCTCCACTCACCACCAAAGCTACTCTGTAGGATTTCCACTTAACATATGTGCCTCTTGAAATTCAGAAGTTTAATAATTTATCCAAGGTTACAGGACTAAGAAGTGAGTTTGAATCCAGGTCCTGTGAATTGAAAGTCTGTGCTCTGTAGTATTAAGGTATGTAATTGACCTGGAAGCTAGTCTAGTACAATTTTTTTGTTTTAGCTTTTGTTTATGGTGCTGAGAATTGAACCCAGAGCTTTGAATTGCTACTAGGTAAGTGTTCTGCCACTGAACAACAGGCCCTGCCCTTTGGGAAGCTAGTGTAAGCAATCAGTCATGAATTAGTTTCCTTTCTCACCTTCTTTGCTTGGGTGACATTTGGGCCATTGGAAGAACAGTAATATAGATCTTGAGTGCTAAACACATCAGATTAGTTATTCTTTACCATTCTGTGAAAAGAGTGCTATTGTTCCCATCTACAGATGAGAAAAACTGAGATTGAGGCAGATGAGATAACTTGCCTATGGTCATGTCAGGTCTATTTGACTGAGTATTCTGATGTTGTCCAATGAAGAGCACTGCCCAGCCTGGGTGTTAATGTCATCTTTAAGATCTTTGACTTAAACTTTGCTAGGCCAGTTTTAAAGGCTGAGACTTTACCTTTTAGAGGTAGGGAGACAGGTCTGAGCCTGGTACTACTGCCAGCCATGGTGATAGGGGGTTGCATGTCCAAGGCTGGCTTATCTCCTGTCTGGCCATCTCCCTCCACCTTCCCTTATCACACCAGAGATAAGAGCTAGTTCCTGGAGCTCCCACACCCACACCACAGGCCCTCAGCACCACATTTGGCTCCTTTTCCACTGGAGCCATAAGATTAAGTGGTTCATTTTTCCTTAGAGGGAGGAGACAAGTTCTTCTAGTTTGTAAATTATTGTCTGGGAGTCACATCTACCTTCTTACCTCCAAACCCTGTGCAATTTTAGACAAGGAAGAGTTGGCAATCTAGAGAATTTAGCCAACTGATTTGCAAAATTGAATTTTTTTTTTCAATCTGTTGCATTCCCAGGCACAATCTGCCTGTAGGATGGATCAGGCTGCTGTACCTCCCAGGCCAGGATCCACCATTATCCAGGCTTCCTTCCTCCTCCTCCTCTCAGCAGACTGCTTGGTGTTTATGTGACTTATTGAAACCTACAGAGGAAGAAAGGGGCTAAGTCCTGAAAGTCACCTGCACATCCTCAGTGAAATCCCAGTAGCTTTATATTTGTTCTCAAGCTACTGCACCCTGTGTTCAATGCTGGCACCAAAGTACTTCCAAAGATAGATAAAGTCTGGAAATGTTAATAGGCCTTGCAAAGCAACTGGGTCCTGCTTTCCGTTTATGCTTTCTGGGTGGCAAGTATGGCACGTGGGAGGAAGTTGAGACCCTAGAAGCAGCAGTGTTTATGTGAAGGATGCCAGAGCGAGTGCCATGAATGTGAGAGAAGCCAAGCACATCATGAGGGAATCTGTCTCCTCCAAGCCAGGCAGAGCAACTAGGGAAGGGCCATGTGGCCTAGAGGGGACACACACCACAATCTGCTCTGGACATCACCCTCATCCCATCCCATGAACATCTCAGGAGTCCTTAACCACTGACCCCTTGAACTTGCAGTGACTCTGTAGCTGTTCTTTTTCCAGTGGTGTGCCTCTGTAGGGTGCCTCCTTGGCCTGGAGTGTCCACTCCCCAGTTTTGTAATGAAGTTTCCCTCACCTCTAGAACTGAAGTTTGGTTTGCAGTTTTTCTTTTGGGGCCCTTCTGGCTTCCTTGAGACTCTGTTGGCCACCTGCTTTTATGCATCCCATCTATACTTACTGTTCCCATTCCAGAATGCTTTTCTCTTGCCTGATTTCAGCTCTACTCTTCTGTCTTTCTCACTATGATTTGCCATCTCTGCATCTCCAGCACCTAGTGATTCCTAACACTTACCAAAGGAGAGTTAATTGTTGTTGAGTGAATATGAAATTAGAGTTGGGTGCTGGTGGCTCATGTATATACTTCTAGCTACTCAGGAGGCTGAGATCTGAGGATCTCTGTTTGAAGCTAGCCAGAGCTAAAAAGACCATGAGACTTTTCTCTCCGGTTAAAACGCCAGACATAAGCAAAAAAAGTTAAGGTACAGTAGTACCCAGACCCTGAGTTGGAGCCCCAATACTGGCAAAAACAATACCACCATTCTCTGCTTTTAAGATTACAAACCCAAAATGTGCCCTCAATAAACGTTTGCAATTGGAGAGCATGCAGCTGCCTGAAGGCCTTGTTGGGGAGTTTCCCCTGCTGAGCCCTCCTGTTTACAGACCCCCTCAGTCCTCCTGACAGCGGGACCAACCTCAGCTCCTCCACACTGGTCTTGGTGCACTAGCTTTGCACTCAGGAAAAAATAGCCAATGCTTTGGAAAAATCAGCTCTACTTTATTTTTCTTCCTTTGAAACTGAAATGACTTTCATAAGAAATGCCTGAGGTTAGAGTGGTACAGAAAGAAAGGACCATGGCCAAAACCCGGGAGAGCTATTTTTGTGATGTGAATGAACACCCATAACTTTTTTTCCTTTCAGCTTGTGCACTTGTTGCAAACAGCTCACAGCCTGGCCTTACCAAGCATGGCCTCCTTTTGCCTGTTGTAATGAAGTGAGGGCCATGTGTCACCCATGTGGGAAAAAGTTCTGTCCTTGGTGATGAGTGAAGAAAAACTTTCAAGGGTCAATCTAAGGATAGAGGAGATGACATGCTTTGAGATTTTTATTATGCCCTAATATGATGTTCCTGTGTCATATTCACAGATCAACTCGCAGCACCAAGAATGGTGGACTTTCAGTGATGCTCAGTCTGGTGTACTTTGCAGGCTTATTCTTTTTATTAGTCACCATTTCCGGAGCCATCTGGCTTCTAGCACAACTGACTGGGTCCTGTTGACATTAGCAGAGGTATATATAGCTTTGAACAATCTGTGATTCTTACAGCTAGGGAGAAGAGTGGGCAGTGAGAGAAAGATTGCCAGCAAAGGCATTGTGCCAGGTTGGAAGGTACAATTGAACATTTTCCAAAGATGGTCTAGGTTTAGTGTTAAGTACTAAAAACTAACATCAGCATTTTACCATCTTAATGGAATTTCATTTTTCCTCTCAGTACCCATCCTCCCTCCCCCACATCTCCCCTGAGGCTCACCTCTGTCTCCACTTACCTTTGCAGGTGTAACGCTTCTCCAGGTACTTCATGGTGATCACCTCTGCCCTCTCTACGCCACTGCTCCAGGCAGCTCCTGAACCATGGGGGAGAATGAGGATGAGAAGCAGACCCATGTGGGCCATGTCTTTGAGAACTTTGTCCAGGCATCCACATGCAAAGGCACCCTCCAGGCCTTCAACATGCTCACACGCCTCCTAGACCTAGACCCTCTGGACCACAGAAACTTTTACTCCAAGCTCAAGTCCAGTGTGACCACCTGGAAGGCCAAAGCCTTGTGGTACAAACTGGACAAGCGTGGCTCCCACAAAGAATACAAGCGAGGGAAATCATGTATGAATACCAAGGTAAGGGAAACCCTCCCAGACATTTCTCACTTTCATGTAATTGAGGTGACATGGGGAATTACGGAACTGTTTTTATTTTACTAGTTTAAGGTTCTTAGATAAGTGTTGTACTGTTCTCTATTGAAAGTTTTCCTTGTCTATACATGCTCCAAGTATCCAGGCTAGGATAGCTCATTGTGGCAGCCTCAGCCATGCTTCTTTTTAAAAAATTAGTTAATGATACCAGGGTTTGAATTCAGGGCCTAGAGGCAGGTGCTTTACCACTGAGCCACAACTCCAGCTCTTTCTTTGTCTAGTTATACTTGAGATAGGTTCTTGCCTCTTGCCTATGTAATGTGCCTAGAGAGTGATCTGCCTATTTTAAGCTTCCCACTAAATCTAGGATTACAGATGCATACTACTGTGCCCTGCTGTCAGTTGAGAAGAGGTCTCATAAGACTTTCTGCTCACACTGGCCTTGAACCACCATCCAGCCAAACTCAGCCTTCTAAGTAACTAATATTACAGATTTGAGCCACCACACCCAGCCTCAGTCACCATTCTGGTGCCCTTTCCAAGGAAGGAAAACCAAAGGCAAGGTGGAGGGTGTCAAGTGAATCTTTGCCATTGTTCTATTTCTATTCCTATTCAAATTGTACCTCCAGTTGCCTTTGTTTATCATGCAGCTTCTACATGCTAAGCACTTTATGTCCATGATCTGATTAATAGCTGCAGTCACCCTTTGGGCCATTTGAGAACTAGAAGATAACTTTGATCTATCTAATTCCAGGGCTTAATCCCAAAGTCCCTTAGAGAGACATAATTACAGAGTTGTGCTTCTCTGCAAACAAAGTTTTTAGAAAGATCCTCTGATTTTTTTAATTCGTTGTCTAAGAAGGAGATCTTTCATTCTTAATTTCTTTTCCTTTCTCTTTTATCTTTTCCTCCTGACACCTTGACATTCTCCATTTGCCTGCCCTTTCTCCAAGATGCATTTCCTTACTCAGAAGTACATTTGGAGTTAACCCTACACAAGCTGGTTGTATCCCCCATAGTCCAGCCTCAGGCAGCAACAATGAACACGGGCCAAGCAGAGCATCACAATCTCTGAAATGCCACCACCCAACAGACAGCTAGAAGCCAAGACTTGCTGCTGGCCCCAAGGGGCTGTCAGCCTGGGCACTGGTCCAGGCTGTATGTTTAGGTTAAGAATGAATGTACTGTATTTAGACCTCTCAGGAGGTAGCTCAGCCAGAGCCCTTGGAATTCCAGTCAGTGCCAATCCCAGGACAAGAGGATTGAACTCTCCATGGCAATCAGGCCTGTTGTGTTTTTGTTTTGGTTATGAGGAGCTGCTGAGTCTACTGTGGGATATGGCTGCTTTGCATTGCCCTAGGGAAACAGCTGCTGAGCTCCTTATGGACTGAGGGTGCAGACTGAATGGGGCATAGGAAGAGAATTCTAAGAGCACATGAACCATCCATCAGTGCCTGCCCATAAACGGATGCCTTGTAGCCTGAGGAAGACCTGAGGGTACCAGGGAAAGGGGGAGACTTGTGTCTTAGGTGCCATTCCTTCCATGTCTATCTTCTAAGTCATAACTTCATGATTCATATCTCACTGAGTAGGTCTCAGAGGTAGAGGAAGCAAAGCTCTTTGTTATCAGTTACCCTTCCCAGTCGTTGTGTATGGTAGCTTTTCTTTTTTTAATGAGTCCACATACTCAAATACAGTCCCTCAAATAAATAGCATATAGAAGTCCCATAAGTTAGGTGCCCTGGATCCATGCTGCTCTCTCCAGAGAGTTGCAGACTGTTTTTCAGTTTAGTTTTGCTATTCTGTTTTGACAATACTAGGGTTTGAACTCAGGCCTTTGTACTCAGCTTGCTTGCTCACAACTGGCATTTGACCACTTAAGCCATATATCTAGTCCAGCTTTTTGCTGGCTATTTTGAAGACAGGGTCTCCAGAACTTTTCCAATAGGACTTGCTTTAAACAGTGATCCTCTGTATCTCATTCTCCTGAGTAGCTAGGATTATAGTCATAAGGCACTAACACCTGGCTTCCAGAACTATTTTATTAGAAGATGCCATCGCCCCACTCACTCAGTACTCTGTGACTGTCATAGGTCTTTGTTGGTGATCAGAAAGTGAGTCATCCAGCAGGGCGATGAGTGAAGGCTGGCCACTATGAAGATGTTCTTGTTTCAAAAGTCACCAGCCAGGTGGTTTGCCTGGCTTGTCTGACCAGTCCTTACTTTACAAGCTAGGCTTGAAGTAACAGTCTTCACATCTTGTGGTTGGTAGGACATTGTTGGCACCTGAGAAACAAAGAGAAAGAAAATATCTTTTGTTAGTGATGCTGGGTAAGAGGGGTTTGTTCAAAAGTTTTTATGCCTTTTAAATGTGTGATAGTCTAGCTCATAAAACCTACCCAGGTACTAAGTAGAAGAAGATACATTTGATGTGTCCCATTGGATCCATCCTTTCTTGTGGGATATTTTTCTCTGTGTTGGTGTTATTCTCTTTCCTACAGACAGGTTTTCTTTTGTATTTGTAGCCTCTTGTTCATATTTTCAAAGCTACATGACTCAAAAGACTAGAGCTTTCTCTTCCAGCTTAATATTGAGAAAAAAACTCTCGCAGTATTTTGAATGGTCCACTTCTGGACCAATTAATTACTGTGATCAGCTGCTTTTTCAAGCATCAAATGACTGACACAGAGGATGTGGGGTACAAGATAAGGCACAAAAGTGACTGGTGTCCTCTACAATAGCTGGTTACTTTTGTTCCAGCTATGGGCTAAATCTTCCCATACTGGATTCACATGTAGATGATTAATACTTATATTCCTTATTGCAAGTTAAAAACCACAGGAGAGGGGTCTTACCTCTCTTCCCAAGTAGAAGACACTTTCTTGGTCACACATGCTTGTTTCTTTTAGTGTAGTGGTTTATACTTAGCATTATATAAACAAAACATCCTGGGAATTAGCATACATATAGCTGATCATAAATGTGAAGCCAGGTAATCTAACAGGTGCCAGGCAGAGAGTCATGCTCTTGGTTAACCATAGGTTAAGATGAGAACAGATACAATTCAGCCAGATCCCTACCTTTTCAGGGATGTAGACACATCTCATATCACCTGAAGAAGCCATGGCCTTTAGTATTTCACCAGCATTTATCGTGTGTGTGTGTGTGTGTGTGTGTGTGTGTGTGTGTGCACATGTGCGTGTGTGCGTGCGTGCGTGGGCGTGTACACAATGCATGTATGCTTGTGGTGGGGACCAAGATGTATTCAGAGAAAAAGAATTCTGGTAGAGATGCCTGAAGACAAACAGAATAACCTCAAAGATCTCCAGAGCAATGGCTCAGGTATCTGTGTTTGTGTGTGCATATATGCATGCATGTGGTGGTAGTAGATGATAGGGGACCAAGATCTATTCAGAGAAGAAGAGTTCTGGCAGAGATGCCTGGAGACAAACAGAATAACCTCAAAGATCTCCAGAGCAATGGCTCAGGTATCACTTGCATAATCTAATGTGAGTTCATTGTTTATTATTTAGTACTATTAATGAGAGTTTCATCAGGCTCTTAATAATTCTTTCTCTGGGTGTGACTTGGGATAAGACTGGAGTGAACCAAAGATCAAGCCAAATTAATATTTTCAGGACTGATATTGACTTTGCCTTAGGATTACACCTGGCTCATGTGTTACATCCAGGTGTGGCCAGGGAAAGCAGCCCAGAAGAACTTATAATAAATAACTAAGAGTGAGGTTGCCATGATCACAAAATCATGGACTTGGCCATTTTTTTTATGTAAACCTTTACATTAAAGGTCAGAAGCTGTATAAGAGAATGTTGTATATTGTCACCCACATTGACAGGTGACAATCTGGGCTATTTAGCTGGAGCCAATGGGTAGCAGTGCTGGAGTTCAGGCTTTTTCTCAGTTTGATTTCATATTCTTCTGTTCATTCTTCCATTAACCATGTTTCCAGTACCTTACACATTAACTAGGCCCTGAATGCATAGGAAGGCAGAAGTAATGAATGGGAAGTTCTTCTTGAGTTTTCTGTAATGAAGATAGAAATATAATTATTTACATTTTTACTCTTATTTAGTAATTTATGGGGTCAATAGTTATTGTAGAGTTACTGTGGTCCAGAGACTTCTCTAGATATTTATTGGCCTCTGATTACTCTATGGTCTTGAGTAGGTTACATAATATCTGTGCCATTTCTTATAAAATGAGATTAGTAATGGCACCTTCCTCAGAGTTCCTATGAGGATTAAATAAGGCAATCTTTTATGTTGTTTTTGTTGTTGCTGGTGGTGGTGGTGGTAGTCATAGTCATGGGGCTTAAACTCAGGTCATAGACACTCTACCAGTTTGACCCATAGCTCTCCTTCCAGTTTTTGGTAGTTAATTGGAGATAAGATTCTCATGGACTTTACTGCCCAGGCTAGCTTGGAACTAGCTTGATCTTCAGATCTCAGACTGCTGAGTAGCTAGAATTACAGGCATGATCCATCAGCACCCAGTTTGAATAAGGCAATCTTAAGCTCTGACAATATTACCTAGCACATCATAAGCAATCAGAAACCATAATAACAATTTGCCATTATTATCATTAGCATCTTAAGTACGACGAGAGAGATGTGCATACTGGCATGCAGAAGTATAGGAAAACAAATGACTAATTGTGACTGCGGTAGTCTGGGAATGCTTCCTGGAAGAGGAATGATGTGGGGCTTGACGGGTGAGTAGGAATGTGCCTTGCAAAGCTGAGGGAACAACTAGAGGAAACACAGGCAGAGAGACAAATTCCAGGAAGAAGGTGTTGCTTGTGTAATGGGAAAGAAAGGATGTGGGGGAGTGGAGGGTTGGTGAGAGCCAAGAAAAGCAGAAAGGATAGATGGATGGTAGGAGGAAATGGGGAGAAAGACCTACAGGGGATAGGCTTTGAGGAGGGAGTCCTGAACTCAGAGAACCTGGAGACTTATGGATGAGGAA